CTGTACTGCCCCTGTCACCTTCTTACTGCCTATTGTCTGCACCACAGCCAGTCTGGTACTGATAATCAAGTCAGGTCAGGCAGGCCATTTTTTTATTCAAAACTTACCAATGGTTTCCCATTTCATTCTGAGTAAAACCAAAATTTCTACCAGTGGTCCTAACCTCACATATAACAGCCCTCAACACCTTGCTATCTCTTGATAGCTTTTATTACTCACCTTCGATTATCACACTTTACTTTCACTGGTTTTCTTTTTCATTGGGGTATATAGGGAGTCCTTTTTATTTATAGATTCTGTACTGGAAAATTCTTCTCAAATTTATTTGTAACCCCCAAATCAATATAGATATATGTATTCATATGCAAAGTAGCAAACATGCATGTTTGAGCTGTCTAACATGCACACAGTTGTACAGGCGACTGCCTTCTTGTTTCGGCTCTCTTCCTTTAAGTGCACATCCTTTCATTATCTTATTTGCCACATTTCCACAATTTTGTGCTTCTTTTGTAGGTGATTTCACTATTTAAAACTGCTAGCAAGCACAGTGGTGAAGTGCACTTTCCCTTAGGGAAGTCCTAGGAGATAATGCCTTCGGGGGAAAATAAACTTCATTTGAGGCATTGAGTTACCATACTTCTGGCCAGCAGTTCAGTATTGATGAATCAGCAGTGTATATTAAATAAGGAGTCTTTAAACAGAAACACAAATGAAACAAGATTATGTCTTGATCAGAGGAGGAAAATGCTGTGACAAAAGGCTTGTGGGAATCTAACCCTGTATTTCCACTTGGCACAATGGTTCAGTGTTCACAGATTTAATGTTTATAAAATGACTTTGTCAAAGATCGCTGCCATGCATAAAGAGAATTGACTATAAATCTCACTATAAATCCATGTTTTAATAACATACAGTTCAGTGGTTTTTAGTATATTCAGAGTTAGGAAACCATCACTACTATCCCATTTCTATTTTCAGAGCTCTCCAAAGACACCTTGCACTTGATAGCAGTCATTCTGCATTCTCCCCTCCCTCTAGTCTCTGACAACCACTACTCTCTCTATCTGTATGAATTTTCCTGACCTGGAATTTCATTTCGTGTATGTAATAATACAATGTGTGGCCTTTTCTGTGTGTGTGTCTTCTATTTAGCATAGTTGTTCAAGGTTCATGCGTATTGCAGCATGTACTTGTATTTTACTCTTTTATGTGAGTATACAGCACTTTTCTTATCCATTTATCCCTTGATGAACATTTGGTTTGTCTCTACTTTTTAGCCATTGTGAGTAATGCGGCTATGAACATTTATGTATTAATTTGTTGTTATTACAGTTTGCATTGTCTATTCCTCGAACGTGGGATGCTTATGATTTTTGTATCATTATTCTCTAACCAGAGATTTTAACAAGCTTTCTTGGTGTTTTAAACGATTCTTCAGCTATTCTCTTGCACTTTCAAAGTAGACAGTTATGTCATAGGTAAATGATGATTATCTCCTTTTCCAACAGCTTTAATTTTTCTGTTTCTGATTCTTGAATAATTACATTAAGGTCACCCAGTGTCTCAGCACCCTTGCTGTTCATTAAAATCACCTAGAGAGTTTTATCAGGCCTCATCTCCAGAGATTCTGGTTTAATTGATATAGGCAGAACGTGGGTATTAGCATTTTTTAAAAGTATCTCAGATATTCCTAGAATCTAGGATTGAGAATCATTGTTTTAGACACTTTGACCCATTGATAAGTAACAGTGGTGATAACAGGTATTGTTCCTGATCTTAGAGAAAAAGCTTTCAACTTTTCCCCATTGAGTATGATGTTAGTCGTGGGCTTGTCATACATGAAATTTATTGTCTTGAGTTACATTCCATTTATGGCTTTTATAAAATCGTGAACATATGTTGAGTTTTGTCAAATGCCTTTTCTGCATCTAGTGAGATGAGCATGTGGTTTTTGTCCCTTGTTTTGTTAATATGGCATAATATTGCTTTTATTGATTTGCATATGTTGAACCATTCTTGCATCCTGAATCCCAGTTGATCGTGGTGAATAATCATTTTTATGTGAGGTTGGATTTAGTTTGCTAGTATAACTAGAATCCTAGGCTAGAGACCCAACTCCATGTCTTTCAACATATCGAGCCTAGCCACTCACCCCAATACATCAACAAGATGAGGAGTGGTGAAGGTCAGAGAAAGCAGATTTATTGATATGCCCTGCTGTAGGAAGAGGGAAAGCAAGCACTTCAGCCCATCTATGGGGTACTGACATGAACTTTAGGTTTAAATAGAGGAAGAATTGGGGAAACAGGTGAGAGGTATGCATCATAAAACAGCTCCGGGCAAAGTGTGGTCCAGTTGATTATTATTTCAGGATTGGTTAGGTAGGGCCTTGTCAAGATAAGAAAGTCATTGCTGTCTGAGGGTTTGTTTCAACTTTTTTTTTTGTAGTACTGGGGTTTGAACTCAGGGCGTACACCTTGAGCCACTCTGCTAGCTCTTTTTTGTGATGGGATTTTCAAGATAGGGTCTCCCTGCCATCCTCCTGATCCCTGCCTCCTGAATTTCTATGATTACAGGTGTGAGCCACTGGAACCTGGCTTAGTTTCAACTCTTGTCACAAGATGTTTATCCATCAGTCTTGTCATTCCTAGGTGACTGTGGGAGAGAAGGGTTCAGAGCAAAGAAGACAAATGCAAATACAGTCAGGGATACCAAGCTTTTATCCAGCATTTAGTTACCCCCTTGGACATGTGCAGGTCAGACATTTAGCAAAAGCAGTTTCTAACCTATTATAGAAGGTTGTTTGTCCTTTGGTATGCACCAGGAGAGGTTGGGGTGTTAGATGTGTGTTCCAGTTCCTTCTTTTCTTGAAGAGAAACTGAGAGCCAGAGTTTATTTCCTACTTTTTCCCTATACCAAGAACAGAATCTGAGGCAGATGCCTGTACTGCTGATTAAACTGCTTGATTTGAACCTAGGGAGCTATCTGCTGAATGTTTGCAAGTTTAAAAGTCACCTTTTTTGTGGTCTTTTTTTTTTAACTGTGCTGGGGGTGGAACCCAGGGCCCTGCACATGCTAGGCAAGCACTGTAGCACTGGGCTATATCCCCAGCACTTGGGTTTTTGAGACAGAGTTTTGCCGTATGGTGCAGGCTGACCTTAAACATGCCATTCCACTGCCTCTATCTACTGAGTGCTTGGATTATAGGGGTGTACCACCACACTTGGCTGGTCTTTTCTTTTAACACTTAAATATTTCACTCCACTCTCTTCTTGCTTGCATGGTTTCTGTAGAGAAGTTAAATGTAATCCTTATCCTTGATTTTGGGTTTCTTCCTCTGGTTTCTTTTAAGAATTTTCCTTTTGCTTTGATTTTCTTTTAAGTTTTAATATGTTGTACTTCAGAGTAAATTTCTTGTAGTATGTCCTGCTGGGTATTATCCGGGCTTCCTGCATCTGTGGTTTGGCATTTGTCATTAGATTAGGGAACTCTTAGTTGTTGCTTCAAATATCTCTTTCCTTTTTATCTATCATCTCTTGGTACTCTCATCAAATGTATATTACACCTTTCATGATTGTTCCACAGGTTTTAGATATTCTATTGTCCTTTGTCATTCTTTTTTCTCTTTAGACTTCTGTTTTAGAAGTGCCTGTCCACATTTCTTCAGGGTCTTGATTGTTTCCTCAGTTGTAGAAATGCCCTTAAAGGCATTCTTCTTCCTGTTCCAGTTGATTCCCAGCATTTTATTTTGACTCTTTCTTAGACTTTCCATCTCTCTCTTATATGAACCATTTTCTCTTTTATAGTGTCTACCTTTGTCTATTATCACCTTTATATAAACCATAGTTGTTTTAAATTACTGGGCTGATAATTCTAATGTATTCCCCATATCTGGTTCTTATGCTTGCTGTGCTTCCTTTAACAGCTTTCTATCTTTTAGTATGGCTTTTAAGTTTTTTGTGGCACGCCAGATATGGTTTAATGGGTAAAAAGAACTGAGGCACATGAGCCTTTAGTGTGAGGTTCTATGTTTATCTGGTTAGGGGTTAGTCTGTGCGTATTGTTTGCTATAGGTTATAGACATTAAATTTTCTTCTGGTTTTCTTCTTTTGTCTCCCCTTTGGTCTTCGGTAGAGACTTTGTAAGTATTGTTCTGTTCTATCTTTTAATCAAAATGGATCTTTTAATGAGAATGGACCTGTTATTGTACAAGAGTCCTGTTGTTGCGGTGCTAAGGTGTCAGCAGAGGGAAAGTGTTCTGTCAAAGTCCCATGAATGTCTTTGTCTTTTAAGAAGCTGTACCCTTGGCCTGTGACCTTCCTAAGAGCTTCTCAGTTTTATTTTACTTTCCCCCCATAGGAGAGACAAGAAAGCAGTCTGGGTCTGGAGTTGAATGTTTCTCTCCACCCAGGTCAGTTAAGTTCTGATAAAACTCTAGTAAGCTAGGAAACTGTTCAGGACAGAAGACTCTGGGCAATTTCAAAGTGACCACTTTTCTTCCACCCCTGCTAGAAGAATGGAAGCATAAAGAAATTTTCCTCAGATCTTCACCTGGTAGGATTCCTCAGGGTAAAATTAAAAACTGTGTGGGCTCCCTCCATGGGCTTGGGTCCCTCAGGAATTTTAAACTCTTAAATTCATACATGTTGGACCTCATGGATTCCAAGGAGTTTTCTGTGTGGCACTTCTGTTCCAGTGTCTTGACTCTGAGGCAGCCCACTCATGTCTTCCCTTGTGGAAGCAGCAGTTGTCTGGGCTCTATGTACAGTTGTTTTCAGTGTGCTTACTGTTTTTTTTCTTGTCCTGTGCTAGAAGAGATGAATTCCAAGCTTATTACATGCTAGACCAGAATGCAATGGAATTTTTAAAACATTAAAGACTTTTTAAAATGAATTTTTGATCTCTTGAAAACTTGAGTAACTATCTTTTAAGTGATAAAGAGGGTAAAAAGTAAGATCTTTTGGAAGATTAACTTATTTCTTATGTACTTTCTCTAATAGATCCCAAATGCCCAGGAGATGTTGATTTTCATAATAGTGACTGGGACATTAAGACAATCACCAGCTCCTTGAAATTCTACCTCAGGTATGAATTATTTGAACTGGGATGTTGCTTGTCATAGCTGATGAAATTTGGGTGGAGTTTAGAGTTAAGGTGGTTCCAGTTTCAAGAATTTGTATAGATTGCTGAGAAAAAAAGTGTGCTAGGCACTGGTGGCTCATGCCTGTAATCCTAGCTGCTGAGATCAGGAATATCCCAATTTGAAGCCAGCTCAGACAAAAAGTTCACAAGACCCCCATCTCTCAACCAATAGCTTGGTGTGGTGGCTGATACCTGTCATCCCAGCTATGTAGGAGGCTGACATCCGAAGGATTTTGGTCCAGGTCAGTTGGGTAAAAAGCAAGACCCTATTTCAAAAATAACCAGAGCAAAGGGCTGGAGGCATTACTTAAATGGTAGTGTACCTGTCTTGCATGTGCAAAACCCTGAGTTGAAAAACAATACCACATATAAAAAAAGAGCAAAAAGTATTTATTTCAGAGAAGAGAGTGCATTAGAAGATTTTTTTTGCTTTTATTTATTTTTAAGACAAGGCCCCACTATAGTGGGGTTGTCCTGGAACTCACTATGTAGCCAGGCTGGACTTCTACTCATTATACTCCCACCTCATCCTCCTAAGTGCAGGGTTTACAGGAAAGCACCCCCATGCCCAGCACTAAAAGACTTTTTAAAATGTGAGGATTTAAGGCAGGGAAGCATAAAGTTTAGAACTGCTATTGAAAAAATTTTAAAATCATGCTTTTCAAATAATTGCAGTTATGCCATTGTTCGTAGATAGAATTCATGTCATGATGTCCCTGTAAAATCACAAGTTGTGATAATTCTTCATTGTTAACATATATTAGTTGATGATAACCATTTTGAGACGTAAAATTGGATTTAGGCAAAAATAATGTGTGTATGTGTGTAAAGGAGGGAAGGGAAGAGAAGGTGCTATTTATTATGTTTTAATTCATGTGATAGAAATAAAAAACAGACCAAGAAAATAGAACTATAAAATTGCTAGAGCTTAAAATAATTAAACGAAGAGGCAGAAGTAAGAATAAAAGTTAATTGACCAGAAAAATTTGGGGATTCATAGTGATGATGAATTTATTGTTCTGTTTATTGGCATAAATGTATATTATATGAAAGATGTTTGATATGTATTTAAACCCATTCATTTACCAACTTTCCTGTCCCACAGTATGTATGCACCATTCTTTACATGCTAAAGTGTCTTCTTTTCAACTGTTGTGCTCTTTTGGCATTAAGATGGCTACTTGAAAATAACATTAATCCAAAAATAGATTAGGTCCCTGGGACTGGTGTTAAATGACCTTCTACTGTAACATCAGCTTAGAGCTTTACATAAACATGAATGCTCTTTTCAGGAAAATTTCCCCTTCATTTTCCAAAGACAGGAACTGCTATTGGAAGGTTTATTCTGTCCTAAGCATTGTGCTAGTTACTTATATTGGTGTTTTTCTCCCAATAATTGTGTATAATATTTTACAGATGAGGAAACTGAAGTGCCCACTTCTCATTAAGTATTTTTTTCAATGTAACTGTCTCTGATTTGTAAGGCCACTGGTGCTGGGGCATCTTCTTCCCCTGTCCATATTCCTAGGGGCTATGGTCTTGGGGTCGCTTGGGCCATTTAATAAAGACAGAGCAGTCTTCATGAATCCTTTCAGAAATCTTGTGATGATGAGAATAGTGGGAGTAAGTGATTCTGTGTCTCTATCCTCCTTGAAAGGAGTCAATATTTTCAAAGGTGTGTATCTGTTAAGACCCTCCCTGCTTTACAGCATTCCCAGCACATCCTATAATTAGCAGTGTGGCCCTTTGGAAAGATGGGAAAGACCAAGCCTGAACATGTGAGTTAGTGACAACCCCAATAAGAGACTGTAATCCATGGGCCTTTAATCTTCACCAGCCAGTCAACACCCTTTATATTTCTCAAAGATGACAGTGTTCCCAGAGTGGGTCTCTCATTTGTTTCAAGTTCCTAAATCTTCCATCTCCAGCACTTCCAGAAAAGCACTCTTCCCTTTTGTCTCTCCCGAGTCTTTAACTTCTCTCATCTAACTGGTGCTTTCCTCTCAGTGTATAAATATTGTTCAGCAGCGCACATCTCTAAATCACTAACTCATCTCACATTTTCTCAGTGCCTCCTCTATGCCAAGTGTGATATTAGACCCTAGACATAGAGTTGTGGGTAGGTATGGTCTCTGACCTTAAAGAGCTTACAGCCTAGTGAGGGGGACAGACAGAAAAAACTAATCATGCACATTTAGCAAACTGTGAGAAGTGCTCTGAAGGAAGGGATAGCATGCTATGAAGGCATTTAATAAGAAGCCTGGCTCCATTCTGATTATTTAAATTTGGTTTTGAACTGTAAGTTGGAACCAATTAAAAGGGGGGTGGTTCCAGACAGAGGGAGCTATGTATGCAAAAGCCTTAATGCAGAAGGGAGGAAAACCATTCCAAGAAACTACATTAGGCCTGGCATGGTGGTTTATACCCATATTCCTCGCTGCTTTGGAGGCTGAGGCAGAAGGATTGCTGTTTGAGTCCAGTCCAGGCAGTTAGTGTGAGACCCTATCTGAAAAATAAACTAAAACCCAAAGGACTATAGGGGTATGGCTCAACTGGCAGAGCACTTGCCTAGCAAGCACAGGCCCTGAATTCAATTCCCAGTAAGCCTCCCTCTCCAGCCCCCCACATAAATAAAGAAAAGAAAAGAAAGTATGTGAGCCAGCATAGGTAGAATATTGAATGTGGAGAAAGAGGAGGATATGTAGGGGCCAGATCTTGCAGGATCTTATAGAACATTTTAAGAATTAGACTTTAGAAAGTAATGGAAATCTATTGAAAAATCATGTGGGGTTGAATGATGAGATTTGAATTTTGGGAAAAATAGTGTGGAGATGAGATTAGAGGGAGATGGTGGGAGAGGCGGAAATCAATTAGCATCATTTCTGTGGCTCCGCAAATGGTGATGCTCCTGCTTGGAGTGAGGGTGGCAATTGAGATGGGTAGAAATAAGCAGATTCAAGAGGATTAGGAAATAAAGTTGATCAGATGGACATGAGGATTGAGGAGAGGGAGATTAAAGGATGACTTCCACATTTCTGAACCATGCAGTCATATGATGGTCATATGTTTACAGATGGGGGAAACGCAATTAAGACAACCAGATTTGAGGGAGACTACAAGCTGGGTTTTGGATTTGTCAAATGTGAGTGTCTTTGAAAAACGTTGACACTCTGTTAAGCAGGCAATTGAATACTGCTGACTGAGTGGTGAGCTCTGGGCTCAAGCTAAAATCCTGGGAATCATTGACCATGTAGTTGACAATTAGGCCAGGAGCTTAGACAAGGTTGTTTAAGGCACCCTTCGCAGCCAGGCTTCTGTAGCAAGTGATAGGAATGCCCTGTCTCTACTTCATCCAACTGTAATCTGACTCACCCTCACTGCTGCACTGGAACTGCTCTTGCCAAGGTCACAATAACACCCTCAGTGCTTCACACAAAGAACAATTGTCAGCCTTTACCTTACTTGATTTCTTTGTACCATGTGAAGCTGTTAACAAGCCCTCTGTGAAACTTTCTCATCTTTTGGATAATGCTGTATCACTTTTTAAATTTTTTTCCTTACCTCTTTGGTCATTCTTGGCAATCCACTTTATGGGATTTCTACCTGGTATTTCCCAGGGCCCGTCTCTCTTTCTACTACATTGGAGGGATAGAAACTCAAATATTTACAGGGGCCATGAAATGAAAGTGAGTGAAATAGACTATTTTCATATTTCATATTAACTATGCTGTATATTGAACTTTTATTTGTATGGCAGTCACTTTCTTTATTTATAAGCAGTAGGATCCTTTACTTCCATGAATAACCATGTCCCAATGGAGTCAGATCTTTCCACTTCCAACAGAGGTGGGAAGTACAGATTTTTATTTTTATATGAAGTATCTTATTTTTTTATATTTTGATCACTGATCCAATTCCATTTCATGTTTTTTGGTGGTACTGGTGTTTCAGTTCAGGGCCTCTCACTTGGTAGGCACATGCTCTAGAACTTGAACCATGCCCTCAGCCCTTTTTTGCTTTAGTTATTTTTAGGTAAGGTCCCACATTTTTTGCCTGGACTAAGATCCTTCTACTTATACCTCCTCAGTAGCTGAGTTGACAGGCATGTGCCATCATGGCCAGTTTTTTTGTTGTTGCTGTTGAGGTAGAGGTCTCACTAACTTTTTGTCTATACTGGTCTCAGTCTTCCCAATCTACATCTCCCAGTTAGCTGGGATTACGGACATGAGCCACCTCTCCTGGTTCACTGGTTGACAGTGTCTCATTAACTTTTTGCCTGGGCTGACCTTGAACTGTCACCCCATCTCTGATTCCTAAGTACCTGGAATTACAGGCTTGACTTATTGAGTCTGGCTCCATTTCACTTTTATAAACTATCCTGAATAAATAAGGAGCATCAGAAGGCCTGTATAGCTGTTCGACTGCCAGTTTGCCATCTCTCCTGCAGCAGGGGTATCTGTTCTCAGGGTTTTAACAACCTCCCAAGTTCATGGCCTGCATACAGCTTCCTAATGGACATTTCTCCGTGACCAATCCTGATGCCCCTCTGCTTTAGCATCTCTACTTCCCTCTCCACCAATTCCTATCCCGCCCATTCACTCAAACCAGATTATCCCATCACACCCAGTCAGTGAAGGAATGCTGTCTTTAATGTCTTTCAAAGCATTAGCCTTTCAATCTCTATTTCCTCCATTTCCATTTAGGTTTTTAGTATATGTCACCTGGATTGCTACAATGACAGTGGCAGGCAGGATTGCATAGTGATTAAGAGCATGGAGTGTGGAGACAGAGTGTGTGGCTCTGACACTAAAGACCTATGTAATCTCCAGTGAGTTGTGCAACGTTAGCTTCCTCATCTGTAAATGGAAGCGACTGTAATGCCTCCTCACTGGGTTAGCATGGAGATCAGATGAGTTAAAACATTAGAACAGTCAATTACTGTTTACAGTGTAAAGTTTGCTGCTGCAATTACTGGTGCAGTGTAAAGTTTGCTATTTTTATTTTTAATTACTTCCTCTGAAAAACTCACCACATACGTTTATTTTATGCCCTTTTCCCACTGCACCAAAAGGTTTGTATGTATATGGCACACTCATCAGCTAGACTGTTAGCTTCTTGGAGATTTGGACTAAGTCTTATTCTTCTCTGGATCTCTAATACCTGGCACAGTGCCAGGTACCTTGGTATCCAGCCAAGGTTTTCTGACTGAATGGAAAAACCTGTTTGAACCTCAGTTTCTTCTTCCATCAAATTGGGGTTTGAATAACTGCTCTAGCTGATGGGATCATTGGAAGGATGAAATAGGAAGACAGGTACTAAAGCACTTTGGAGATTGTATGGTTCTGTCAGATTGTAAGAGATTCATGGTAGCATGTAGACGGGGTCTAGTGTGAGTCTTTGCACAACTGGCTTACACTTCCTTTTGGAGCTAATTGGAGAACTTGCTGGAACAGGTCTTCTGTTGAATTATTAGCAACTTGAACTCTCCTGATAAAGCTTCAGGTAAGAGAGAAATGCATGTAATCACACTAAACTGTGGGACTCTGAAATTTCAGTCTCGCTGCTCACAGAACTGAGCATCCAGGCTGGCTCCTCTCTCCCCAAAGGAACTTACAGTCTTCATTAATTTCAGGAATCTTTCTGAACCTGTCATGACCTATAGGCTTCACAAAGAGCTGGTCTCTGCTGCCAGTAAGTATTTATGTCACTAGTTAATTATGTTGTCCTGGTTTTTTTCTTTTAGTAAGTTTTACAGTCATAAGCCTAGAAAACTGTTTGAAGGTGAACCCCCCAAAACATATATATATAGATTTTGCCTCCTGTCAGGTGGAGTTATTTCTGCTTGCTATGTTGAGTTGGATGATTTTTTTCCTAAATTGATATTAGTTGGGTGGTTTGGAGAAAACTGGCTGGCTTGAGGGATGTGACAAGTATAAAGATGTTGATTTATGTATTTACTGCCTCTTCCTTCCACACAAGAGCACCAGCTTACATTTACCAAGGCACAGCAAAATTACAACCCCTCTTTCAGCTTCCTTCAACACTTTGCCTTTTCACATGCTTTTCAGCTGTTTTGTGAACCATTGCTCCTAATCTGTTATTACTACCAGGGCAGGGACAGAGGGTGTGTGGGAAATGGAACATATAGAATCACCCCATGGCAGTTGAAGAAGCATTAGGAGGATTGGCTGAGAGTAGTCCTGTGGAGCTGTCTCTCCTATCTGGACACAACTCTTAGCCTGCGTTGCACCCTGTGTGGTGTGCAGGATATGAATGTAGTGAACTTAACTTCTTACCAGCTCTTTTTGGAGGCAAGGGAGCTTTGATGTGTGCTTCTGGGCTTGCTCAGTCATTGTCATAGGAACCCACAGGCAGCTTCTTTCACCTCAGGACTGCAAGGTGGGTGGGAAAGGGTTTCCAGTTAGAAGTTTATGTGTGGCTACAATTCTGCCTGCCTCTCAGATAGTCTTGTCTTCTCTGCTGTTCTCCTCTCCTCTTTGTTGGCTCTTCTATCTTCTACTTTCTTCAGCCCTCTAGACCTATTTCTTTGTTTCTTTTTGTCTCTTTGACATTGTTCAGTGTCTCTCTCTTTGTTTCTTGGGTTCTTGTTGCACTGTCTCTCTGTGCCTATTTATCTCCATCTTTTTGACTGTCATTGTGTCTCCAGTTGTCTTTCTCTGCATCTGGGTCTTTGTGAAGGGAGCATATGAGAGTTTGCTCAGTCTAGTTACCCAGAAAGGCAAACCATTTTACTCACTGTTCTCTTTGACAGAATCTGACAACCTGGATTACCGTCTGGGAGCTATTCACTCCCTAGTATATAAGCTACCCGAAAAGAACCGTGAGATGCTGGAACTTCTGATAAGACACTTGGTCAAGTAAGTAACTGCTGGGCTTTCAGAAACATTTCCTATTGGAGGACTGGCCCAAACAGTAGGACTACAGAGAAACTACTGGGCAGTTCATTGAGTTCCAGCCCCCAACAGCTTCCTGGGTCAGTTGAATGCTCTCTGAGGAGGGTCACACCCTTGTCTGTATCCTCTTGGGGTCATCATGTACCTGGTCTGTCTCAGTTGAAGGGTAGCACAAAGGTAGAGTAGACTGGACACATGATTTGCTGTCAGGTAAGCCTGGTTTTGAATCCCAGCTCGACAATTTACTTAGTTGTCTAATTTTTAGTTAATCTCTCTGAGCTTGTTTGGCCATCTGTACAATGAGAATAGTAATGCCTACCATGCAGGAGTGCTGTCTGGAGTAGAAAGAATGAGGGCGAAGTGCATAGCACATAGGAGGCTCTCAAGAAATGGGAGTTGTCAAGATCCTGATCAACTTCCTGCCCTGGTGTGGGGGGCAGTATCAGACAGCAGCATTCCAGAGAGTGGGCCTAGTGACAGACTCTGAGCTAGGTCAGTGAAAGGGGCACATGTGCTCCACAGAGGCAAAAATAGATGAATATCCTGGCTCAAAATAACAACAACAAAAAACAGCAGAAAGCACTCTGTCCAGGAGTTAGCAAACCCACATTCTAGTTTCAGTCATGCCGCTAGCCTATTTGGTGGGCAGGTCCTTCTCAAGGCCTCTCTAGGTATATTAAACATGAATGTGAAAATAAGCTTAGAAAAAATTGTTGTATGTTTTAATATATTTAGCAAGTATATTTAGCAAATAAAGCTATTTACACCATCTTCCCAAATGCAGTAATGATACATCGTATCCTCATTTGGAGAGGATCTCAAATGCCTAAAATCCAGGCCTTTGGCAAAGGTGAAATATCAAACTAATTTTCTCTTTGGCCTCCCCCTGTAATAGAGTCTGTGTGCTCTGCCTATCTGGACCTTGGGTTTTCCTGTGATGTGAGATATCACCAAGGACCTGATTCAGCTCTGACTTTCTAAGACTATTTTAACACTTCTATAGGAAATGAGCATTAAAGACACTGATGTAGATAATAGAATTAGCAAGAGGATAGCTTTTGTATCTATTGCCAATGTCTGAAATTTAGGTTAATAGAGAACATTAAGGGAGAATTTTCTCTCCAAAAAGTAGTTTGTGATAATTCAGTAAAAGTATAAAAATCAGCAAAGAAATATTTGCAAGTTCATTTGAAGTTGCCCTGGGGATAGAGACTTTGGGTTCAAGTTCCAGGTCTATTGGTTATGTGATCTGAAGAAAGTCCCTCCCACTCTTTGAGGGAGAGGACTAGATCAGCTAAACAACTGTGACTTTCTTGAAGTCTCAATATGTGACAAGAGCCAAGGATGCATGAGGCTATCCCTGTTGGCAGTGAGCGACAGGGTGCCCGTCTCCATCCACCCAAAGCCTGGCCACCTGGCTTGCTTCAAGAATCTTGGCCCTCAAAATCCCAGAAACAAAAGAAGATAAGAACACACAGATTACAGAAAGATAATGCCTTCAACTATGTGAAAAAATAGTTAGGCTCACTCATACTAAAATATAAATGAAATGAACACTGAGCTAACATTTGACAAATTCCAATGCATGTTCTCTGTTGATGAGACTGTGGGGAAACAGGCATCCTAATATATTGTGAGATTAATTCAACACAGTTCCAGAAGAAGGAGATTTGACAATAGCAAATCTGCATATTGGTAACTACCCTTTGACCTGACAATCCCATTTTTAGGCACTGACTCTAAAAACACACCTCCACAAATACAAAACAACATGCATACAAGGTTTGTCACTGCAGCATAGTTTTAATGACAAAAGATTGGAAGCAATACAAATGTGCAACAGTAGGGACTTGCTGAGAAAATAAGGGTATATTTACCCAGGTACTATTCACACCACCATAAAAAAAAGAATGAAAAAGATTTCTATGAGTTTTGTTTTTGTAATGATTTTTAGCATGCATTAAAAATTTCACTGTGTAAAATAAGCAACAAAAACCCCATGTGTAAGCAAGTTTTTTTGTAAGAAAAAGAGGAAACGTGTGTAAGAATATACACATATATTGTCTTATTTTTGTCAAATGAAGCACAGTATATTTTTGAAAAAAAACTCACAACACCAAAAATTGGATGTAGAGTTGCCACATGACTCAAGAATTCTCTTCATAGGTGTGTACCACACCCCCAAAAAATGAAAACCTATGTCCACATAAAAGCAATATATGCAGATATTTATGGCAGCATTATTCATAGTTCAAAGATGGAAATAATCCAAATGTCCATCAGTTGATGAATGGAAAAACAATGGGATATTATTTACCCATAAATAGGAATGAAGTACTAATACACACTACAACATGGATGAACCTTTAAAACATTATGTAAGTGAAAGAAGTCAGACATAAACATCCGTATATGACTCCATTTATATGGAATGTTAAATCTATAGAGACAGTAGATTAACCATTGCCAAGGACTGGAAAGTAGAAGGAATGGGGAGTGACTAATAATGGGTATGGAGTTTCTTTTTGGAATAATGAAACTTTCTGAAATTAGACAGTGGTGACAGTTGCACTACCCTGTGAATATACTAAAACCACTAGGTAAAACAGCATTGAGGAACAGGCTAGTCACATGATTTTTGTGTAGTGCCCACAGGTTATTAATTACAAGTGGAAAACATGGGTCTTTATGATGAAGTTGTGTGACATATACCGTCTTACATAACTAATAAAAGTTAGCATCACTAATAATGGTACAAACTGACCTTATAAGCTTCCTAATTTGATGTAGTAAGAATTACATAAACTATGGAATGTTCCTTATCAAAAATGTTTAATGCAGTGTAGAAAAGGTATAGAAAAATAGACAATGCTTGCCATTCTGTAAGACTACTGGCTTATCAGAAAGGTCAGCACATGGGAAAAAAAGGCAGGGGAGCTATTTTACACTAAGTGAGTGAAGAAGCAAATGTAGTGTCTGAACTTTGACTAGATCTACGTTTGAAAAACTCAGCTAAAACAAACTTCTGTGACATTTGAGAAAATTCGAATATGGACTAGATATTGGGTGATACAGAACTATTATAAATTTTCTTAGATGTGAAAATGTTATTGTGGTACCCCCATCCAGTGCAACAATAAAATAAATAAAATGAAAAGTTGCTTGCTCTTTGAATACAAATACTGGCTGTTTAAGGTTGAAGAAAAAATATACAGAGAAAAAAAGCAAATGTTAATTCTTCATTCGAGGTGTAATAATGTTCATAGTACTTGTGTTAGTTTTGCATTGCTGTGACAAAATACCTGAGCAAAACAACTTAAGGGAGGCAAGATGCATTTTAGCTCATGGTTTTAGAGTTTCATTCCATCATGGCAGGGAAGGCATGGTGGGGCTGCTGGCACACTGTGGTGGCCAGGAAGCTGAGAGTGAGAATGCTTGCTCTAGTGGGTTCTCTCCTTCCCCTTTTATTCCACCTGGGTCTCAGCCTATGGGATGGTGCTGCCACATTCAGGATGGGTCCTCCCCCTTAGTTAATCCTCTCTGGAGAGCCCTCACAGACACACCCAGTGGTGTGCTTTCCTAATCTGCTTCTCAAAGCAATCAAGTTGCCAGTCAAGTTTAACCATCACACTAGCACTCTTTCAGCTTTTTAATACGTTTGAAAACCTTTATAACCAAAAGTTGTATGGGAAGTATAAGTTTAAAAATGAGCTAGTTCTTTCAGAAAATGTACATTAGAGAAGAAGAAAATTCATGTGCTTTCAAAATGCTCACAATTATACTCCCTGCCAACTTCTGCCTTCGTAATCTATATGTGATTATATTCATGCCTTTGTAATGTATTCATGCTGCCAGCCTGTTTTCTAGTCTAGTAAGAGGCAGAAGCAAACTGACCTCAGCCAATTTAGGGTTCCCAATTATCCAGTTCTTTTTGGTACCTGTGCTTCCATTAGTCAGAGATAAAGAACTGTAAGAATCTCTCCGCTGGCACCCTCACTACCAGAGGAATATTACAATGGAAGCAAACCCCAGGTCTAATTCTGCTATTCATACATATATTTATCAGCATCAGATACAAAAGGAATTGTACAGCCTGCTCTATAAATTCAGTGGAGTCTCATTTCTCTATCTTTTCAGATGTTCTGACAACATCTTTCATGAAAATTTCACTTGAGACAAATGAGATAACATTCTAGTGACATAATTAGAGTCAGGCAATAAAATCCTATGACCTAGTATGCAAATGCAAGTCTCTTTCATAATCTTGGGCCTGGACTGCCATTATAAAGACCAAGGGCTATTAGGCCTACTGGATTCTTATTTTTCTAACAATGCTACTATTATTTCAGAAGCAATTCTGTATACTTTATAGAAATTAGAAAATACAGAAAAACAAAAAAGTAAAAGCTTTCTATTACCAACATTGAGTTATCCTTCTGATAATATAATATTCTTCCAAAGCTGTGTGTGTTTATACAACACATGTATGTGTTTTTACCAAGATGACATTATCATGTTTGTTGACATTTTGCAATTCAACAGTTTCTACCTTTCTAAACCATATCAACATTTTCCTAATTGACTCAAAAAGTGCTCTTTATAGGTATTTGTCTGAACTGTTACCCAAAGCAAGGGCACACGTCCTATCTGCTTCTTGTGTCCTTTTCATCTCTTTAGGACATATCACCTACGTGCCTTTATGACACTGGTTCATTGATGAGTTAAGACCACTTATCTTGTAGACTGTTGTTTACTAGGTTTTTTTTCTTTTTTTCTTTTTTATTATTTTTTTGAAACAGGGTCTCATTATGTAGCCAATGTTGGCCTCGAACTCGTGATCCTCCTGCCTTAGCCTCCTCAATGGAAGGATTATAGGCACACAGCACCATGCCCAGGTCCTACTTACTAGTTTTATCTTCTTTCTTCATTGTCTTATTTTTCAGCCTCTTTCTCTATTGCCTGTA